ATATATGTGTGGAAATTATTCATAAAAAAAAGGAAGAATATTTTCTCTCAATTTTCTTCATGGTATCAAAGCCATACCTGATCCAAAAAAAAATTGATATCAAACCCTGCTGAGCCGTAATTAAAAATGGCCTCGGGTGAGCTTCCATCCTCTCCACCAGAAGTTTCCTCGGGCTCTTATCATCACACAGCGACAACCAGAGCTGTAAGTGAACTACCATCATCCTGTATCACAGGACATAAACTCGATGGCAGCAACTTCCTTCAATGGTCGTCGTCTGTCCGTCTCTTCATCCGCGGAAGGGGGCGTTATGGGCACCTCACTGGCGAGCTCATGCCTCCTCCAGCGTCCGATGCAAATACACAAATCTGAGAGATCGAAGACAGTATGGTCATGTCCTGCATCATTACCTCAATGACTTCTAAAATCGGAGAGAATTTCTTTCTCTACGAAACTGCTCATGAAATCTGGAAGGCAGCACAGGAACTCTACTCCAGCAAGCAAAATACCTCTGCAATATTCGAAATCGAGTCAACTCTTCATGACCTTCAACAAGGAGAACTCAGTGTCACCCAGTATTATAGTATCCTTAGTCGAAATTGGCATCAGATGGATATCCGCCTTCGAAGAGCGTCACTGGAACTGCCCCGAGGACACGAAAAACTTCATAGTCTTTGTGGAAGAAAAGCGAGTCTTTAAATTTCTGCTAGGGCTAAACAAAAATCTTGACGCGATTCGGGGACGTCTTCTGAGCACTAAACCCTTGCCGAATCTTCGAGAAGTTTTTTCTGAGGTTCGACGCGAGGAGAGTCATCGGAAGATCATGATGGGAGAGAATGACCAACTTCACCAGACTGAAAATTCTTCAGCTCTCACAACCCGAGCGATTGATAATCGAACGAAGAAGACAAGGCCCTGGTGCGACCACTGTCGGAAGCTAGGGCACACTCGGGAACGTTGCTGGAAGCTTCACGGCAAGCCAAGTGACTGTAAACCACCTTCGGGTGAGTGGAAAATGTCAAAAGTAGAGACCTCCAGCAAGCCTCGAGGAAATCACGTGACGGCTGAGGAAGTAATTTTTGATGAGATGGGAAAAGATCCGTTTATCCCTGAACAGTTGGAAGCCCTCCAACAAATTTTGTCCAAGAAATCTCACTCGGTTAGTGCCTCAATGGCACACAAAGGTAATATTCATGGTTTATCTGCTCTTTTAGAAAAATGACAGGTGTGGGTGGTAGACTCTAGAGCATCTGATCATATGAGTGGCGATTTCTCAATGTTCCAAAATTACAGAAGATTTGAAGAAAATATTTCAATCAGAATTGCAGATGGTTCTCTCTCAAAAGTGGCAGGAATGGGCTCTGTAAATTTGTCTCCAAATTTGACTCTCTGTTCAGTTCTCCATGTTCTGAATTTGGATTGTAATTTGTTGTCTGTCAGCAAGCTATGTGAAGATTTGAAATGTGCTGCGAAATTTGCTTCTAATATGTGTAATTTTCAGGATTGGACTCGGGGAGGACGATTGGCAGTGCTAGGATGAGCTCGGGATTATATTTGCTTCAAGTCAACACTTCTAAAAGAGAAGCTCACGATGCAGTATGTGAAAACTCTGTTCCTATTTCCAAAAATAATGATCATGATATTATCTTGTGGCACTATAGATTAGGACATCCAAACTTCATGTACTTAAAAAGGATATTTCCACTACTATTTAAAGGAAAAGATCCAGTTTCATTACAGTGTGAAGTTTGCCAATTTTCTAAATATATTCGAAGTTCATTCCATAGTCTACCATATAAACCATCTAAACCATTTGCATTAATTCATAGTGATGTTTGAGACCCTTCTAGGGTTTCCAACGTTTCCGCAACTAAATGGTTTGTATTTTTTATTGATGACCATACAAGAATTACTTGGGTATTTCTCATGAAGGAAAAATCTAAAGTGGGATCCCTATTTAAAAAATTTCATACAATGATTCGAATCCAATTTCATGCTGCCATCCAACTATTGAAATCTGACAATGCTTGTGAATATTTTGAAAATACTCTTGAAAAGTACTTTATTGAACATGGCATTATTCATTAAACCTCCTGCGTTCATACTCCACAGCAAAACGGTATAGCCAAAAGAAAAAATAGACATATTCTTGAGGTTGCTAGATCTCTCGTGTTCACCACACATGTACCGAAATATCTTTGGGGAGAGGCTGTCCTTACAGCTACCTATTTGATTAATCGGACGCCCTCTTGTATTCTACAGTTTCAATCATCATACACTATCCTCTCAAAAATCTTTCCTGATTCTCACATCTTAAACACTTTGCTACTTAAAGTATTTGGGTGTTTAGCATACGTCCACATTCATAAACATCTTCGTGGAAAATTAGACCCAAGAGCAATAAAGTGTATTTTTGTTGGGTACTCAGCAAATCAAAAAGGATACAAATGTCTAGTTCCGGAAACCCGCCAATTTTATAATACCATGGACATCACTTTTTTTTAGAATCAATCATTTTATCCCACCACTGATATTCAGTGGGAGACATTCACTCAAGAATATCAGTTGTGGGATGTGTGTGTACCACCTCTCTACCCACAAAATCCATCACCAGATAAACCTTCCTTGAAGATTGAAGCCGAAACCTCACAAAAGAAATCAGAACCAAAACTTGTTATAGAAAGCACATTATTTGCAACGAGTGAGTTACGTGTCTATACAAGAAGAAACAAAGGAAAAGCACCCGAATCATCCAAGCACTGCCATGAATTCCCCACTGATCCAGGTAACGTAATCTCTGTACTAACTCTTGATTCCGTTGATTCTGTTATTCCTATTGCTTTGAGGAAGGGCACTCGAACATGCACCAAACATCCTATACAGGACTATGTTTCATTGGACAAATTATCCTCGGAACATCATGCTTTTGTGAGCAGGATAGACAGCAGTTCACCTGAACCCAAAACAATACATGAGGCCTTGGAAATTTCAGAATGGAAGTTAGCTGTCCTAAATGAGATCAGGGCATTTGAAAAGAATGAGACATGAGAACTAACTGATCTTCCTCCAAGAAAGCGTCAAGTGGGATGCAAATGAGTTTTTACAACCAAATATAATACAGATGGGAGTGTGAACAGGCTTAAGGCTCGTCTGGTAGCCAAAGGCTATACATAATCATATGGTATAGATTATCAGGAGACGTTTGCACCAGTTGCCAAACACAATACTATTCGGGTACTCCTCTCACTTGCATTTAATCTTGACTGGCCACTGTGTCAATTAGATGTAAAGAATGCATTCCTTAATGGCGATTTGGAAAAAGAAGTGTATATGAATATACCACCAGGGTTCGAATTAACTGACAACTCTCAGAAAGTATATAAATTGAAGAAATCACTTTATGGCCTAAAACAATCTCCAAGAGTATGGTTTGACAGATTCACAATAGTTGTAAAATATAAAGGATATGAACAATGTCAATCCGACCATACATTGTTCGTCAAACATTACATATCACGTAAAAAGGCTATTTTGATTGTATATGTTGATGATATTATTCTTATAGGAGATCACCTTGAGGAGATTCAGAAACTTAAAGAATTCATGTCCAAAGAATTTGAAATAAAAGATCTTGGAGCACTAAAGTACTTCCTCGGTATTGAAGTAGCTAGATCAAAAAAGGAGATTTCAGTTTCTCAACGAAAGTACATTCTGGATCTCTTAAAAGAGACTGGGATGCTAGGAAGTAAGCCTGCTGACACCCCTATGGACTCAGTTATCAAATTTGGATCCAGAATAAGTAATAAAATGATTGACAAAGAGAGATCCAAAGACTTGTTGGGAAACTTATTTACTTGGCTCGTACAAGACCAGACATCAGTTTTGCAGTAAGTACAGTAAGTCAGTTCATACATCAGCCAACAGAAGATCATATGAGTGCTGTGTGTCGGATTCTGAGGTATCTCAAGAAAACTCTAGGATAAGGTTTATTCTTTCAAAAAACAGACAGAAGGGGTGTTGAAATTTACACGGATGCGGATTGGGCAGGTTCTACAAACGATAGGAGATCTACATCAGGATATTGTACCTATGTTTGGGGTAACCTGGTTACCTGGAGAAACAAGAAACAGTCTGTTGTGTCTCGCAGCAGTGCAGAATCTGAATTTAGAGCGCTCGCTCATGGTATTTGTGAAGGTGTATGGTTGAAGAGAATACTTGAAGAATTAAAAGTTCTCAACATATGCCTATGAAAGTATGGTGCGACAACCAATCACAAATTAGTATGATCAAAAATCCAGTACGTCACGATAAAACTAAACATGTAGAGATTGATCGTCATTTCATTAGAAAAAAATTGGAAGATGGGACTATAACTCTGATGCATATTTCAACCAATCAACAGATCGCAGATATTCTAAGTAAAGCTCTTTCTAAGAGAACCTTTGATGACGTAATATTCAATTTAGGTTTACTTAACATATACGTAAACTAGATTGAGGGGGAATGTAGAAAATATAATAATTAGAAAAATAAATTAGAATTAAAAACGGTTATTTACAACTGTTATGTACTATAAATGGAGGAACCATTTACAGCTGTTATGTGCTACAAATGGAGGGAATCACCAACAAATTTGTTATAACAAATTTGTCCTTAGAAACAGAATTTTGTTAGGTTTCTCTCCAAAATTTGTTATTAGGGTAGTAGACTTGTACATTTATGTGTGGAAATTATTCATTAAAAAAAAATATATATTTTCTCTCAATTTTCTTCAAATGGAAGCAACTATACTGTATATATATGACATATTGGTTATCATGATAATCACGTGCTATGAGTGAGATATAATGGAAGCAGCAATACTGTTATATCAGGAGTTACAATTGAATTTTTAAGTTTTTGCTATTATGTTGGGTGCTATGGGTGAGTATTAATGGTGAGGGAACACATTACATTTAATTGATATAAACAGGTCATTCTTTTTTCATGATGATTATAAGCAGGTCATTCCTGACTCGATTGCTGGTTTGCTAAAACTCGAAGAACTTAACATTTCATCCAATCTTTTGGAGACACTGCCAGATTCTGTTGGACTGTTACATAATTTGAGAGTCCTAAATGTTTCTGGAAACAAGTTAACTGCCTTACCTGACAGCATTTGCGAATGCAGGTGATAGTATTTCATCATAAAACTGAACTTGAACCTAAATATCCTTCTCTTAATGGTAGTTTGCATTCTAAATTCTCAGGTCATTGGTCAAGTTGGATGTGAGCTTCAACCAGCTGACTTATTTGCCTACTAATATTGGGTTTGGATTGGTGAATCTACAAAGACTCTTAATCCATTTGAACAAGATTCGCTCCCTTCCCACATCAATTGGGGAGATGAGGTCTTTGCATCATCTGGATGCTCACTTCAATGAGCTCGGAGGCCTACCACTTTCAATTGGGAGGCTGACCAATCTTCAATTTCTCAATCTGAGCAGCAATTTTAGTGACTTGACTGAGCTTCCTGACACATTTGGTGATCTTACAAATCTAAAGGAACTTGATCTCAGCAACAATCAGATTCATGCTCTTCCAAATACGTTTGGTAGGCTTGACAAATTAACCAAACTCAATCTGGAACAGAATCCTCTTGTGATTCCACCAATGGATGTTGTGAAGGAAGGGGTTGAAGCTGTGAAGCTATTTATGGCTAAGAGGTGGGTTGACATACTTGTGGAAGAAGAAAAGAAGTCCATGCTTGAAGAGAATGAACAAGCACAAACTGGATGGTTGACACGGAGCACCTCTTGGTTTGAAAGCGTTACAGAACTGTGACTGAATATTTAGGATCTCCTAGAGGAAGAGACACTTACCTTGATCAGCAGCTATAACTTTGAAGGTCCATGAATATTTCGAGCGGTCATGCTTTACTTTGATGGTGTGTAACTTTGGTGAAGATTCAAGAAGCGCTTTCCATTGTGGTTGCTGCGGGGCTGTCATTCTTATTTTCAGCATCAAAAGGATCTTTTCAGATAAATAACAACACTAAGAGGATATGGGGAATTTAAACTCGAGATATAACTGAGGTATGCCCTTAACACTTAGGATCTTGGTTGATGAAAAGAAAATATAGCATATTCATTTCTGTTCCCTGTTTAGTTCCAAAGAGAAAATCAATTTTGCAGGATGATAAGTAGGTAAGGTGCTGAAGTTTGTACTTTGAAATGAAGTTTTAGATGTCATCGTTGTAACTCTTGCGATTTTTGCCAACATTTCTGATGTGTCTCTAAATTTCATTGACATGATATCCTGTAAAAAGAATGAACAGGTCGTTTCAGATTTTTCTTGGTTGATTTTCTGGTCAGAAGTATTTTAAACGAGTTGTTAGAACCAGAGAGAAACATCAAAGAAACACAATTAAAATCAATCTGACTTCCAATATCAAAATTAATTTCAAGATTTTTAGGAGTTACGACACATTGCTAAACTTTATTATATTGACATGATGAATGTAATATATTTTTTTCTTTCCTGAAAAAAGTTAAAAAAACTGGTTCATATTTTTACAAAATTGTTTGCGGCATTTAAAATGAAACTAATCTCACAAAATTAGAATGAATTTTAAAGAAAAGATTAATTTATTTTTGAAAAAAAGGGCAAGTTCTTTAAACTTCATTTTCCAATAGCTAGTTAATTATTTAAGCTGTTTTCAAATATATAGAACTTTTGCATTATAAAGGATCATTACATAATTTCCAAAATTATAGATAAAATCCCACTTCATAATGTTTTAATTTCAGTACTCAACAGTTCCTCTCCGATTAAATCCATTAGTTACTAACCAAACCCTGAATCCTTCCTTTTATATATATATATATATATATATATATATATAAATATATAACATCACCATTAATCTGTTTATAACAAAAACAGCCATAACAACAACATTTTCATCAAAGCAGAGACTATTATTACCCAGACTTCTTCTCATTCATTTTGGCAGCAATAATGGTAACATTGCTCTGATCTTATACTGTGCTTCATCAATGTTGTATTAAAAGGAATAATACAACATTTCATATGAACTTAATTTAAATACAATTTACAGGATCTTACAATTAATTAATTTTGAATTTACAAATAAATTTTATAATATTTCAAAAATAATTTTTTAAAATTAAAGAATCATCAATCTCCAAACAAACATAATCATAAAAAATAAATAATCCTGACAATAAAATTAGGAGAAGATATCCTCGGTTGACCACATTTTCTACCTTTCGCATATTATAAAAATTTGACCTTCACGCGTGGCTTGATGTTATCACTCCACGTATTAAACGCATTGGTCTTTACCCTAGACTTTACCGCGCTAGAACACTACCTATCAAAATTGGTTCGGTTTCCTGCTCGCAGCGGGTTTCTTCGTAAGGAAGAAAAATAGAAAAGTCAAACCAACGCAAGATGCTTATTGGGTAAGGCAATGGATAAATTTGATGAAAATAAATAGGAGGTTCGTTGTTGAAACATCACTCGCCTTCTCCTCACAAGCGACTTACAGGGACGCTCAGGGATCTTCTCCTAATCTGTTTGTTTTTTTTTTTTTGAAAAAAAATTTTATCCACCTGTTTTATTTTCCGTATAAATTCAATCGTTATCTGGAGGACTAGGGCTAGGGCTAGGGTTTTCTTTTCTTCTTAGCTGCATATTCTGCGCGGCTCACCGGAACGCCTCATATCCCCCATTGTTTACTGAAGCTATGGAGTCTACTTTTGTCATAAAGGTTCGATTCTCCTTTTTCTTTTTGGTTGGTTTTAAGTATATAATTCTGCTCTTTACTCTTCGGAAATTATGTTCCTTCGAGGTTATGGTAAACAGGGGTTTGGGGAAATTAAGGGAAGAAATTGGATCCTTTTAACCACTGTAATTTGATCAGTTCGTCTTACTACGTTAAACCATTTGTAGTATGTTTTAGTTTTAAGGGTGTTTATTATGCCTGATGCAGCTTTCTCGTCAAGTAAAGAGTCATTCTTTTCCCTTTCGTGCGAGATTAACTTCCTCCTTTATCTGTAAAATTAACTGTTCAGGGAATATGTATGGTGTTGATGTATTTTTCTATTGACTTCTCTCTGTCGGTTCTTTGGTTGTTCTTCAGGGTTATTGACGCCTGTTTCAAATTCCTAATTCCATGGTATAGATATAAGAATAGAGTAGAGGTGAAATAGAACAGTATACAAATTCTATATTCAATTCAAGTGGGTTTGGTTTGTGAGTCTAAATAGCCAAAGTCGAATTTGAATTCCATTACCATATGTAGAAATTTCTTCAATTGTAAGTAAATAGAAATATATATGTATATATGGTTCAATACCATATACATCAAGCAATTGGGTTAAGGAAAATTATGAGAATAGATTAATAAATTAGCTGAAGATGATGTGCTATCATGCACACTTAAATACATGCTTTTTTCCTTATGGATTATAAGTTGTGACACGCAGAAAACATTCTCACAATTTTTAATCTGCATTTTCCCACTTGCATCGTGGTACATCGACTTCGTTCTAAAATTTGGTTGATGATTTATTTGGATAATTTACATGATTGTTCCTGGATTAGATATGCCAGAAGCGATTCATTGTGAACCTAGTTGTTAGATATTTTTCTGAAGACAAATTTCTATATTTCTTTGTGTTGCAAAAACATGGCAAGGCTCCAAGGGATAGGCACATCACATGGGAGAATGAATGCTATCGTGTCATTTTGGTTTACCACCAATCTTAGGAGTTGCCTTTGCCTATCTTACTCATTAAATTTTTAATTTTGGTTATCATTATAGGTGAAATATGGGGACACACTTCGCCGTTTCAGTGCTCGTGTCAATGGAAATGAGCAGCTTGATCTTGACATGAGTGGACTGAGGACAAAGGTCATCGATCTCTTCAGTTTCCCTTCTGATTCTGAACTTACTTTAACTTACATTGATGAAGATGGTGATGTGGTATCTCTTGTTGATGATGATGATTTGCGGGATGTAGTGAGGCAGTGCCTGAAGTTTTTGAGGATTGATGTGCGGTTGAACAGTGAACTTTCTGCTGACTCTTCTGTAAGAATGAGTAGAAGTTCAACCCCAATTATGTCCCCTAAGGTCCAAGGTCCCTTACCAAGCATCAATACTCAAGGTGTCACTGAAATATTGAAATCTATGCCCGAGCCACTACTAGAAGTTCTTTCAAAGGTATCTCTTGACTTTGCTTCGAGAGCTGCATCTACCAGTCCTGTTTTGGCTGACCTTGTAGAATGCTTGTCAAAAATACGACAGTCCTACTTGATTCCAGATTCCCAACCTCAGTTTGGTCTTAATTCAACG